TGGGTGTAAGTGGCGCCTGAGTTCTTTAGGCCGAAGGCCATCACAAGGTAGCAGAATATGCCCTCGGAAGTCATGAAGGCTGTTTTTTCGGCGTCTTCCTCGTGCATGAAAATTTGGTGATACACTCGGAAGGCATCGAGGAAGGACATGAACTTGCACCCCGCGGTCTCATCCACCCGTTGATCAATATTTGGCAAAGGGAGGGGGTCCATGGGGCACGCCCTGTTTAAATCAATGTAGTCTACGCACATGCGGAAGGTGGGTGGCTTTTGTGCGAGGACTACGTTAGCCATCCATGAGGGATATTTTACCTCCTTGATGTGCTTGATGGAGAGGAGCATGGCGATCTCCTTCTTCACAAAATCCCTTCTCTCGGTCGAGAGGGGTCTTCTTCGTTGTTGTACAGGTTTGACCGAAGGGTCCACCGAGAGGCGGTGGGTGATGACCCTTCGGCTGATTCCGGGCACATCCTCCAGCCCCCATGCAAAAACAATGGAGTAGGCGCGGAGGGCTTTAGTTATGCCGGTCTTCAGGTCTTCGGGGAGCTTGGGTCCAATCTTCACAACTCTCTCCGGCTTGGCCGGATCAAATGCGAAGTCTTCTACTTCCCTGGCGGGCTCAGCCCTCGGCCTTTTCTCTTCTTCCTCCACGGTTCTGCTGATGGTGTCAACACGGAACTCGGTCTTACTAACCTTCTTTGTCACTTGAAGGTAGCAAGCGCGGGCATGTTTTTTATTCCCCCTTGAGTAGCCGATGCCTCCTTCGGCGGGGAACTTGAGGCACATATGCCTCATGGAGATGATGGCTTCGAGGTCCTCGAGGGCTGGTCTGCCGAGGATGATGTTGTGGGCGCAGTCGATGTTGACGACGACAAACTCCACTTCGAGCTTGGCTTTATGGAGCCCGTCGCCGAATAGTACCGGGAGGGTAATGACCCCCTCGGAATCAATGGTGTCTCCGGTGAAGCCGGTGAGAGGGGTCTTGATGGGTCGGAGGGACCCCCTCTCCAGATGCAGCTCTCTGAATGTGCTGAGGTACATTACATTGACGGAGCTGCCCGTGTCAATGTAAGTTCGGTGGATGATGGTGTCATTGATCTTCGTACGGATGACGAGGGCATCATTGTGCGGAGAGGAAGCCGGGGGGAGATCGACGTTGGTGAAGGTGATGGGTTCCTCCCTCATCCGCTTTACCGGTGGCATATGAGTGACTTCCCCCACGTATAGCGATTGAGCCCACTTCTTCCGCTGGCTGGTGGAGTCCCCTCCTGTGTTACCTCCAGTGATCATATGGATGTGGTGCTTTTTTCTCCTGGTATTGGTTGTACTCCTCCTCCTCATCGAGTTTTCCAATCTCCCTTTTCTTACCCTTCGGGTCGCTGAGGGGGGTGGTGTTTGGGTTGACCCAAGCGTTTGATTTCTTAGGGGGGCCCTGGTAGTGAGGGGTCCCCTGAGGCGTAGGGCCCCTGATGAATTGGGACAGGTGGCCTGCATGTATCAATCTTTCAATGGCCGTCTTCAGCTGATGGCAGTCGTCGGTGTTGTATCCTTGGTTGTGGTGGATACCTCCAGGGGTGCGCGAGAGTCGCGCTCCACAAGGCCCCTCTCCTTGGCGAAGTCTAAGATGACACTGACGGGGTGCGTCAAGGGAGTCCGAGGGTGTTCCAAAAGAATGGACTGGGCCCAAGCCTTCGGGTTTCCCTTGTAACCTCCCCCGGGCTTGGCTTGGCCATGACGGGGGCGGTCACTGGGGGGCGCCGAAACCTTCGGTTGATTATGGGGAGCCCCCGGCCCTCGGTTACCCTTGTCATCTGGCCGAGGGTGTTGCTGATTGGGGTTGTGATGGCACTTTTCCACCTCCTCGGCCTCGGCGTACCGGTCCCCCTGCTGCAGGGCTCTTATGTAATCGCGGGGAGGCTCGATGATGAGGCTCCGTGAAAAGTTCTCGGGGTGAAGGACTGTCTGAAGGAGGGCCAGGAGGGTCCCATTGTCAGCGCCGTCAACTTTGTCAGCCTCCGTCCTCCAACATTCCAAGAAGTCCCGAAGGGTCTCCTCCTTCCTCTGTCTCACTGTTAGTAAGTGGGAGAAGTGCTTCCTTGACCGGCGCCTCCCTGCAAACTGCGTCAGGAAGCGTTGGGTGAGTTCTTGCCATGAATCAATGCAGCCGTCGGGCAATCGGTTGAAGCACTCGTACGTTGGTCCCTCTAAGGTGGAAAGGAACCAACGGCACAAATATTCGTCCGATGCCCCCACCATCATCATGCTGTTTTGGTAGCGGCTGTAATGTTCTTGAGGGTCCGTCTTTCCTTCATAGGGCCTGATGGGCTGCCCTCGGTATTTTTCCGGAATTCTGGTCGCCAATACCCTTGGGGTAAACGGCGTCCTAGTCCGGAGTTGGATGACGGGTTCCCCGGAGCCTTCGGCTATTTTCTTCTGCATTTCCTCCATTTTGGCCAGCATGGCCTCATACTTCGGATCTGTATGAGGGGTGGCGACGGCGGTATGTGCTCGATGAGCCTCCATCTCATTAAGCCGGTGCTGGAGGGCCGCAATGATGTCGTCCCTGGGATCCTTCGGGAGAGCCTCCGCCCCCTGCGAACGAACACGGGCCGAGTGGGCCTGATTGATTTGGTGCCTTGCGTCATCGGCATGAAGTGGTGCCTTGCCTTTGTCCTGATGGGGACGGATCCCCCGCTCTCTTGGGGTCTTTGGGACGCCTTTCCACCGAGGCGGTCTTGGACCCCTCGGTGGTCTTGCGCTCCTCCGAGCCTCTCGAAGGCTGAGGTGCGAGGCCTTTCTTTGTTCGCACCACGTTGGTCCGGGGATTGGACCTCCTGGGAAGCGGTGTCTTGAGCCACGACCCCTTCGTCGTTCCCCACCCGAGGGGTAGGGTTCACGAAGGGGGGTGGTCGTGGGAGAAGAACAGCGTTCTCCCCGACTTGCGGTTGAAGGGGTACCAGAGTACCGAAGGCACCTGGGTTTTGAGTGAGTGTCTGGATGAAGACAGAGAATGCCGATTGTACGTCGATAGTGACAACCGGAGGGCTCACTTGATTTTCGCTCCGGTCCCTCCTTCGGGTCTCAATGCTGAGGCGAGCATCGGGATCATTTTGCTGGAGCTGAAGGCGCAGGTCAACAGCAGCCTGTTCCAACTCAGTGATGACCCCGCCCTCGGGAGCCTTTTTAGAGGCTCCGGGGGCATTGACTTCACCGAGGGCCAGGTTGTTGTCCTCAAGATTCTTGGACTGAGCACGTGTGGTTCTTCCCATTTTAGTTGGTGTTTTTTAGCTGAAGGGGAGGTTTTCTTACTTGATTGTTCGACCTCTCAACGAGAGCACCAAATGATGGATATGTGTACCCGGGTGTATCTATCCGAGGGGTTACTACGGGGAGTAACTAGAGAGAAGTCAAAGAAAAAGTAAGAGAGAGAATATATATTGTTGAGAATGTGTTGAGCGTATTGAACCTGGATTACAAATGGGGAAAGGGGTGCTATTTATAGTAGTAATAAATGCCAGATAGGGACATGTGTCATTATTCTGGTGGTCGAGGGGTCACCTCAACGGGGTGGCACTGACACTCGCATGTGGCCGCATTAAATGTGGCGGTTGGATGTGACGTTTGTACTTGGTACGTTGATCCGGAGCATGTGGGTGGGAGATTCTGTCGAGGAGATGCCTTCGGCCGTAGATGATTGGCCGAAGGCTCTTTATGCTGGGGGCCTCTAGGTGCCGAGGGCTACTGTTTTTGCCGCTTTCTCCCAGACACTTTGAGGGCTGTAAAGAAGTTGTACTGTAAGTTCATGAGCCTTCGACCAGGGGGCCGAAGGCACCCCAGTGTTCGTCGTGGGCTGCTTGGCACTTGGGGCGCTGTGATTTGGGCCTGATGTGCTTCCTGGGCCTATTGGACCTCTGCTACAATAGTGGGAGTCTATGGACCGGGGTTCCTGGACCATATACTCCATCAATTACTCTATGGAGAACTCTTCAATTTTTTAAGCAACACATGTTCATTACATGAAAATAATTTGCTTAGGAAATCAAGAGGCACTCAACTATAATGCTGTTTGAAAACACTTCTTTTGAACACCCAACAATCTCGCAACATAACCAAAATTATCATAAGTCGTTTGAGAGTCAAATATTTGATTTTTAATGGCTTTAATGAAGAAGATACTCAAAAAAATTAATCAAAAAAGTGGATAAACTAGACTTAATGAAGAAGATGCTCAAAAAAAATTCTAATGAATTTTTCAGAAACAAATTCAACCGGGAAGACAGTCAAATGATTTTATGAAATGTACTGCGTTGTTTAACTGCGCAATTATCTTAAAAATTTATTTAACTGCCTTCCCGATTGAAGGTTTAGCTGAAATTTGGTATGAGTAAACTAGACTTAATGAAGAAGATGCTCAAAAAAAATCATCAAAAAAATTCACCTGGAACCGCCCCAAATGACGACGACCGGACAGAGCCTCCTACATAAGGGGTGATTTACACTTTTTAAATTAGTTTGAGAGCCTATTTGACCCTTTTCAAGAAAATTACTATACAAATAACTATAGTAATATTGCAATGACAAAGCGATGTTAGCTCTAGCTAGCTTCTTTGTGGAATAATAAGTGTACTCTAGCGGTCCTTGCTTGTTAAACCCACTTAAAAAATATAATGTGTAAAGTGAAGTGAAAAACAATGAAAATGATGAAAATGTGTAATGGTAGTGTGGATTTGTTGATGAAAATATGATGTGTGGAATTTTTTGATGAATTGTTTTGAGAATCATTTTCATTAAGTCTAATTTACTCATACCAAATTTCAGCAAAATTTTCACCAAATTTCAGAAACAAATTCAATCAGGAAGACAGTCAAATGATTTTCTAAAATGTACATACTACGATGTTTAACTGCGCAGTTATCTTCAAAAAATCATTTGACTGCCTTCACGATTGAAATTTTAGCTGAAATTTGGTATGAGTAAACTAGATTTGATGAAGAAGATGCTCAAAAAAAATCATCAAAAAAATCCACCAAAAACCACCTCAAAAGGAGACGGCCAGACAGAACCTCCTATATAAGTGATGATTTGCATTTTTTAAGTTAGTTCGAGGGTCTATTTGACCCTTTTCCCTTAAAATTATTACTATACTAATGCACTCTTGCGAAATTTTGATATTTGTAGCCACATTGCCACAATATGTTTTCAATAAAATTCGAATATTTAATTAATTAATTAATTTAAATATGTGTACTTTTTCAAATTGCATGTATCTGTGCAATTTTCATACTTTCGGTTTCAAGGAAAGAATGCAGGGACCGGACCCAAATACCCAATGCCGACCATCTAAGTGCAACAGAAGAGAGCCTTTATGCTGTATTGCTGTATACTGTATACTTTGACTAAAACCGCTTTCATCTCGACGCCTCATGAATTTTACTTGAATTTTGATATCTTTTAAAATCAACTCTCTTATTTGCTTGGGAAAATTACCACTTCATGTACATGAAAAGTTAGACTTGAATTGTCAGTTGTCACTGTTCGGGCCTATAACGAGGGCGGCAAGTGAAAAAAAATCTTCATGAAACATGTACGGAGTATTATGGATCCAGGAAAAATCACACCATTTGCTCTTGCACAAATACACCATGGATGAGGTTAAAGCTGACTCAACGACAAAAATGTGGGAGAAATTAACTTTGTATATACACACACAAACGAAAGAGGTAACACCTAAACATAGATGAGGCCTCTCTACCTGGAAAAGTCACTGGGAAGGGGGTGATTGTTGAATAACAGTGATCCATGTTTGCCGAGGGACGGAATACTCAGAGACCGCTTCTTAATCCTTATGTTTCCATGAAACGGGGCCCTCTTCTCGTTCTCTTCATGAAAAGATGAGTTGCAGCTTGGCAGTGGCATCGAATATGTCTCACTCTTGGTCCTCAAGAAGCTACGGGTGTTCTCTTTTTGTATTTCTGTAAGGTTGTTAGTTTCCTCCTGGTCCCCCGAAACTGGGACCACTTTGTCACTCGGATGGAAGCTATTCTTAAATTTATCATTATTGTCAGGAGCATAACCATTCTGCTGTCCGTCCAGCATTGCAAGATCATCATACTCCTCATCTGATTTGGTATACTCTTCATCCACTGACCCTTCCAGCTGTGAAGGGTAATAAACAAATATGGAGTATAAAACAACTGCCATGCCATCAAACTGGTAGTAAATGTAAATCCCTGTGCTTAACTGTCTCCAACAAACCTCTGATTTTTTTCGCTCTAAATTTATTTAATTTATGCAATTTTAACTTACTTTTCCCTACTTCACCAATCTCTAAATACCAGGCCCACCTGAGATCACCTGGGCCCCAAGCAATCTTAGTGCTTCAAGCAATCTACTTCATAGAGATTGCCTAGCACTTCTTAGTGCATGGCCTAAAAATGAACAGCTAACATGAATGACTAAATATAGATGATGACCAGTTTGTGCATATACCTCTTCATGAAAATGTTTTGAACTATCGTCGCTTGAATCCTCGTCACTGTCCATTTCAGATGGCTCAGATAGTTCTTCATCACTACCATGCACAGATTGCTCTTCCTTAAGCTGTAAAAGGAAACTACTACATGTTAAAGCCATTGGACAGGAAGAAATTTGAGTATGGAGAAAACGGAATATGTTTGCAAAGTAAAAAGAATATCAGGAGCTAATTCATGTGATGTTATGTCAGTTGATACCTAAAATTTGTTAAGCTTATCTACCTAATTTTCTTGTCAAAAGAACAAGGGGAGGCTTCCCCCCTCCCCCTACATCCTTGTGGTGAAACTATCGCTTTGCGGGGACGCATATGTGCATCGGGCTGCCCTTTTTATCTACTAGATTTTCTATCAAACACTTACTTGGCTAACTAGCTGAATAGACTTTAAAAAGTAGTCATAGGTTACTTTCTATGGCTACAAGGAGGATAATGACTTATCTACATTCATCATCTAGATATTATATCAGTTGACTAAATAACAATTAATACAATTCTTACTAATTCATTCTACTTGGCAATTACAACCACAACTTTAGCCAATTTTACCCCAAATGGGCTTTAATTTGGTTAAGAGAATTATAAATGACAGTAAATAAACTCCAGTGATGGATTGGGACGACACAAATTATTTGTGGAGCATTCAACAGAATTAGCAAAACTTACTTCTTTGGAATCCTTGGATAGTCCTTCAAGAAACTTCGGCGAACTACAACATGAAGAATAATACCTACTCCCGTTGTCTGTCAAGTCACCCTTTGATTCATCCACGCTGCTCGCATGACTTGTGCAACCAGTCTCATTAAGCCAAGCGCTGATCCCAAAGTGACCAAACTGCAGATTCACAGGTTCAGCCTTCCCAATCTGCAAGGGTTCATACATAGACATCCCAGTCCTAGTGGGTTTACCATTGGTATCTACTGAATCCATAGGCCAAGCCTTTGCCACCGACCCATCATTATTGAAAAGAGCCATCAAATGCCTCGAAGAGCCTTTTCTTTGAATGAGTTGAAACATACCCTTGGAGCTCAAGGAATTGGCAGCACACTGATTCCTGTATTCTTCGTCAACAACAGGAACTGTGTTTGTCATGGGATCATAAAGCTTCTCTCCTACATCTCGTCTCCGTAGGCAGCCAAACACAGTGGCGTGAATGGAAGCGACACTTCTGTCAACATTTGTGTTGTTGATCTTTGGAACGAGATGCTTGTCAGCACGGTTGCACAGATACTCTTGAATAGTCCTGATGTTGCGTATATATTTGACATACTTGTTTTTAGCAGGATCTAGAGTCATGTATTTTGCACGGACAGCGAAGCGCTCCAAGTGCTTTTCTTCATTTGAGATAAACACCATGAAGGGTATGATTGATGGATGCTTCTTCATTAGTCCCATCTGCAAGGTATGAGAGAATTGAAATCAAATACCTACCAGCTACCACAAAGGAAGAAGCTCACCGGTTGAAAGAAATACTCTCTCCAAGACAAAAAAAAGGTGATGTTTGAGTAAGGTACAACTTTTTTGTCAAGGTTCGAGCTTATGTAACTCAAGAATGATCACATATACCCCTAAATTCCAAGATTGTTTGGTGTGATCTACTAAAACCACTTGGGACTTGGCTTGACGTGAAATTTGCTTTAAATGAAAGTTGTTTTTGAAATTGTACTCTTTGTAGGAAAAAAATTGCTTTTGAAACGAGACCTTTTCGGGGGTGGAGGTAGTACTTTTCTTTTAAAGAAGTTACTGCAAATAGGAGTTAAAAATGAGTAATGTTTACAACTAAGAGTATCCTTGTTTTGTGCTAAAAAATATGAATCATTTGGTCCTAAAGAAATAGAAATAATAAATGGTTCGTTTGTAAGAGTGAATCGACTTGTTTGTATGAAAAAACAGTGAGGGTCATATTTGAAGAAATATACTTAATCTTATGTTTTCTTTCTTTTCACACAAATTGGTACTCCGTGATGTGCATGTTGGTTTCAATTTTATTATCAGACATGACTAGCAACTATTTCAATTTGTCAGCCTCATAAAAAAGTAGGTAAGGAAAACCCCTATGATGAAGATGATGGTTTTGGCATTTCATCCCATTATTCATATGTAAGAAGGTTGCACCAGGAATCAAATCCATTTCAAAACTGACACTGTTTTTTTGCACCAGGAATAATATGATGAGGGCTTGCAGCGTTAATTACTTTAGACAATTAATTAACATTGCGTTTCATGTCACCCACCACAACATAATTGGGAATAAGGTGATGTTGACGAAGGTGAAGATGAAGTTGTGGATATAAAATTCATACCACAAAATTAAGGCTCAAATGAACGCCCTCCACAACAACTGATTCTTTCCTCTCCTCCCATGCAGTAATTAATCTGTCAAGACTATCAATAACCATCTCACTCTGTGCTTTAAACCCTTCAATCGCCATTTGTTTTGGACTGATTAAATCGAAGGCACTAGAACTTCCTTCTGCATGATACTTTTTATTTGTCGAATGATTGAAACCATCATTCTTTTGTAGTTGTGTGGTTGAATATCCTGCTAACTTCTTTGCTTTCCGTTTGGCCTTCGCCTCAGCAACTGCTATCGGATCCAAATATTCCCCAGCATGATAAGTTGAAGCCCAGAGTAAAGGATTTTGCTTTTCATTCACAAAGCTCCTCATCATATGCCTAATTGAGTCTGTAGATATTACATTAGTGATTCCGAGCCTGCTTCCCTGTTGAGATGAATTAAAAACAATTTAAAAAATATAGCTGAAGAAAAATATGATACAAATTGTTTTTGACACAATATTCTGCAGTAGAAACCTCATAATTACCTCCCAGAAACTATGCTAGCCTGCTAGGAATAATTGGTTGTGATTCTCTATGTATTCAGAAATAAACGATTACATTTGGGATGTTTTACTTGGACAGTTTTCAGTCCCAAACTAGATCAAACTTTAACATACCAGACCAGACTTCCAAAGTTATAAAATACACAAAGACCAAGCATTTACCAAACCGGACCAGAAAATTTCAGTCCAATTAAAAACATCCTTGCAGAGAACTGGAGATAAAGTTGGATCCACAGGCAATAGAAAACAGCCCAGTAAGAGAAAGACCAACTTGTTGGAATTCAGACTCCCGAAAGGAAGTGAGTGCAAAGAGCAACACAAGACGTCATAAACAAACAGGGTATATGAGTCAGAAAATTCATACCAGTAGCGCAGACAAAGTAGATTTGCCACAGCCACTAGTCCCACAAAGGAGTATGGTGACAGATTCCTTCCTTTCTCGGATTCTGAAGCAAATATCCATTAGTATGGCATAAAATCTCAAGGTCACAAAATAATAAGAAAAGAAAATACTTTTAACATACTATTAAGAAACAAGCTTATAAAATCACTTTATTCACTATTCACCATGTTTCACAGTGGGAAAAAAGGTTATCATATGCATCCATTTATGGTGCATCATGCAGTTTACACTCAACATCTGGATTTCATAGGTCAAAATTCCTCAAACACCTATAAATATCAACTTTTAAGACCACCTATGCTAGTTACTAAGCATTGTCAGCAGCAACGTTATTTTGTCTAGATATGCAATTATGCAAATATCTAACGTTCCAGGTGAATTGGTGGAAGGTAGGGAGAAGTCAGCAAATGATTCACACACTACAAGGTAATGAGAAGAAATATTTTGAAAAATCAGCCGAAGGTAGCAACCTTGTTAAGCCCACTGCCTCATGAAGCAGACATGTTGTATATGCTTTGGTAAATCTCAAGATTAAAAGATCATACAAAGAGTGGCTAGCAGATATATTAATATTTACATGCACATATCTTAATTTAAGATGACGGGCAAGTGCAAGATCAGCTAGCTTACTTGCAAGCTAAAGTGAGATCAGCCCTCTGATTAGGACCCACATACTTATATTCAGTGAGAGCATCACAAACAACATCTAGAAAGATTTTTCTTCTGACAACAACAGTTGTGCGTTTTTTATACAACTCGAATGGTTCACTCTTAGTATGACACTTTTCTTCCTGTAGAAGTTCATTTACACTACACTGCTCCAATTTGTCTGTACAAGCTGAAACCAAATAATTGCTCATATCCTTGCTTTTCATCTTCTCCAAAACCCTTTGGCTAATCTGAATGGGAAACAAATAATAGGGAAAACTTTCAGTGAAAACATATGATATACCAAATTATTATATTTCAAAGGTAAAATCAGTTACAATGAGATCCTATGGGTAACATCAAGTCCTGAATTGTAGAATAAACTTTCAAAAACAATAGCACATGATACATGAAATTATGATCCAATCTCCAAGCATAGATTACAATACTAGAGTTACCATGACCAGAAAAAATGAATTACTGAGTATGTTAGTGTATATAGGGGGTGTTTGGATCTGATTCTTAAAACTGCTTCTGCTCCTTCAGAAGCAGAAGCAGAAGTTGGGGTGTTTGGGTGAAAGTGCAGAAGTGATTCTGGTGCTCTAATTTACTCCTAGAATCAGTTTTTTAGAAGCTGGGGTGACCAGCTTCTGAAAACTGATTCTGATTCTGCTTCTGCTTTAAAAAAGAAGCAGAATCAGAATTAGTTCCAAACACCCCCATAATACTCCAATTCTCCCATTTCACCTGTGCAAGTTTTTGAATCCATCCATATCATACTGTTCACTTTCCTAATTTCGATACCACTAGTTTTTTATTTTGTTTGATTCTCCCTTCTTATATTTTAACCTTTTTATTATACCTTTATGTCTTGAGAAACAAAGCAACACAAAAGTTGACCTATTAAAATATTAGATTTATCGTAATGTTAGATACTATAAAGAAGGATGATGTAGAAATGAGACCGGAAAGAACGTTCAGGATTTTGCCTCGACGTATGAGTTGGCTATGATGAACACTTGGTTCAAGAAAAAAGGCACTCACCTTAGGACCTATATAAGTGGGGCTAATAGTACCTAAATTGATTACTTCTTAGTAAGAACTACTTGGAGAATTAGCTACACAGATTGTGAAGGTTACCCCTGGTGAGAGTGTTGTCGCTAAATATAAAATTTTCGATGTAAGAAGCATGAAAGGTGGGCTAAGTCATAAATGAAGCCAAAGATAAAGTGGTGGAGCCAAAGAGAAAGTGGTGGAGCCTCGAGGGGAATCTCCAAAAAAACTTCGCACATACAATGTTTGGTGAAGATGTTGATAATAACGCACATGTGGAGGATGTTTGGTAAAATAGAACATACCCTTTACAAAGTGACAAAGGAGATATTTGGGGAATCTAAAGGATGCTTGCCACAAAAAAGGACATGTCTGGGTGGAATGATGAGGTGAAACAAATCATAAAGAGCAAAAGGGAATATTACAAGAATTTGGGGAAAAGCTGGAGTGATGAGAACATAAAAGAGTACAAGGAGGCTAAAAAGGCTAAGAAAGTCGTGAAGGATCCACGAATGAAAGTAAATAAACAATTGTATGTAAAATTTGACTCTAAGGAAAAAGAGAAAGATATTTATAAATTTGCTTGTCTTCACGATCTAGAACTCAAGATAATGAAAAAGTTAAGTGTGTGAAAGATGTCGATCAAAGGGTAGTGATTGAGGATGAGGAAAAGAGGTGGATTTTGTACTTCAACACATTATTCAAAGAGAATAAAATGCATGATATTAATGATCTTACTATACCAAATTTATAGTAAATCGGATTTTATGAGAAGGATCCAAACGACAGAAGTTAAAGATGCTATGAGAAAGATGGGGCGGAAGAAAGTAGTGTGTCCAAATGACATATCGATTGAGGCCTGGAGAAATTTGGAAGATAGAGGTGTTGAGTGCCTAACACGTTTCTCGAACAAGATCTAGAGAAACAACAAAATGCCAGCGAGTTCACTAAAGAGTGCTCTTATTATCTTATTTAAGAATAAGGGTGATGTACAAGAATGCACCAACTATGAGGGATGAAGCTTATGAGTCACATCATGAAACTTTAGGAGCGAGTGGTTGACCAAAAGGTGCGAAGAAGTGTGAAGATTTCATAGAATCAATTCGACTTTATGCTTGGTCACTCAACAATTGTGGTCATTCACCTTCTTAAACAACATGTTGGGAAGTATAGAGGCATTAACAAGGATCTGCATTTGGGGTTCATTGACTTAGAAAAGGCATATGATAGGGTGGCACGAGAAGTCCTTTGGTGGGTCTTTACTAGAAAAATCATATCACAAAAGTTTATCAACATCATCGTGAATATGTATGAGGATTGTACTACACGTGTTTGTACTAGTGTAAGGAGGACTACATAGTTCCCTATTACTATCAGAGCGCGCCAAGGATAGACTTTAAGTCCTTTCTTATTTGCTATGATCATTGATGAACTTACAAAGTCAATTCAAAAAGATATATTGTGGCGCACGATGTTAGCTGACAATATTGTGTTGATTAATGAGACAAGATTGGGTGTTGATCTCCAAAATTTGTCTTCACACTTCCAAATTTTGCTTCAAGAGTTCTAGGCAGAGTTGAAGTAAGATTGACTATATAGAGTGTAAGTTTGATGGAGTCAAGAACATGATGGATGTAACAAAGTTTGTAAGTTTGATGTAGCATTGAGATTACCTTAAATGGTAAGGAGATATCGGTCAATGATATGTTTCATTACATAGGATCTATAATTTAGAAGGACGGTGAACTAGATAAAGATGTATCCCATAGAATCAGAACCGATGGATAAAATAGAAGAGTGCATCAAGATTTCTATCTAATCAAGGTATGACGACTAAACTGAAGAGTAAATTTTATAGGAAAATAATTATGCCTACATCACTCTATGGCGTAGACTGTTGGGTGCTAAACAATGTCATATTCAAAATAAGAGTGTGACTGAGTTGCGCATGTTACGTTGAATGTGTGGACAAACTAGAAAAGATTGTTATAGGAATGAGACAATCAGACAAAAGAATAGAGTAGCATCTATTGAAGAAAAGATGTGAGAATCTCGATTGCAAAGGTTTGGTAATGTGCGTAGAAGATCGAGTGATGTAACTATTAAAAGAGTTGAGAAGTGTGGAGAAGAGGCGGGGATGAAAGGTAGAGGAAGACCCAAACAGATGTGGATTAGAGGATGATTCTGGACCCAAACAAGTGGATGTGATGCTACTTCTTGGGTTGGAAGAGAGTATGACTTTGAAAATAGCAAAGTGGAGACATCATATTTGAGTGGAGGATTGATCTCTTAGTTCATCATTTCTATATTTCTATCTTTCTTATATTCTTTATCTTTTAAATCTTTATCTCTATCTTATCTTTTTATATTCTTTATCTTTTGTGTTTCTTTTTATCTTATCTGATCTTTTAATTTTTTTATGTGTCTTTTTAGCTCCGATTTCATTTGTCGATTCATGCTAGCTGATCTCATACTCTTTTTTTACTAAGGCTTGGATGTTGTCATTTTTGTTGTGTTAGAAAATATAATAATATTAATAATAATAATAATAATAATAATAATAAAATTAATAATAATTGAATTTAATAATTTATGCTATAAGCATTCATCTAATAGTTTGTCTTGTTTGTACTTCATCATAAAAGACAAATCATTTATTGTAGTTGCATTTAATGAAAACTGTATTCCACCGAAGTAATTTTGTCTTTTTAGTTAATGAAAAGGTATTAGATCAACAAAAACTTAAACCAATGACATTGTACTTACAAATCTAATAGAAAATGGCCAAATAAACTCAAGTATTTTATATGAACTACACAGTCCTTCATCAAATCCAAAACAGTAGGAAATTTATGAGTTAAGCTGGCTGAAGCACGGCATAAAACATGCTTAAATGGCAGCAAAATCAGAAAACCATAGTGAGGTCATATTTCTTGTAAGCGAAACATACATCATAAATACTGTTTCTTTCAGCAGTAACGAATGACATAGAGTTCAAATGAGCATCACCTAACTATCTAAATTTCAAAAAAAAACCACTACTTCCCACCAATCCATTCAGTCCAACCAGGTGAAAAAGAAATGATGTACCACTTTAAGACAAATATCAGAGTAAAGACAACAAGCCACAGCAAAAAAGAAGTCAATTTTTGCTTTTTAGATAAATTTCAAAATACCGGGGGTTAGAGAGAATACAAAAGATTTGAGATTCTAGAAAAGGCAAAAGTGAAGAGCATATGACTTATCATCACCTTAAACGCGTGTCTCGCTTTACATCCCATGAGCTGCAGAGTACTCTGCAGAACCGAGCGCGTGTACCGAAACGAGTCTTTCTCCTTCTTCCCCGCATCATCGTCTACTACTACTATGTACAACAGCTTCGTCACCTCCATCGACATTCGCTATCTCAATGAGAACAATGAGCTGGAAAACAAAAAATCAAACAATCAACGACAAGGACAGAAAAGAAATGCCAGCGCAAAATAAACCGAAATTCGTAGGTGAAAACCGGAAGCGCAAATCACAATGCAGATGCTATGCTCGTAAGGAATGAAACACCTAAATCGCGAGGAGATCTGTAAAAGGAAGAAGATAGGGTTTACAGAGACAGAGGAGTAAATAGGTTAGAGAAGCGATTTCGCCATTTCTGCGTCAGCAACCTGCTTCCACGCATCAGAGCTGGACTGTGTCCACGAGTCCCCTGCCACTTTCTCTTGTCTTTCCTGTCGCCGTTTAGACACTCTTTTTTCGTCAATTTACACCAACCACTGTACTTTCCTTTTCTTTAATCGTTCATTTCATAATTGCAGAGGTTTGATTGGATCTATATGATTTTCTTTAATAGAAAAAAGTCGTTTTAAAACATTTCCGTAGACCTGACCAAAAACGGGTCGGTCCGTCCGCACGACCGCACATATGGGCGGGCTTGGATATACATAGTACTCCGTATATATTTATTCGTGTACTGGTCCATGGCGGACCCGCAATAGTATATGAGTGGTCTTGGGTTATGGTGTAAGCCCGTTTGGACCTATAACTCCGGTCCGCTACATTTAGTACATATACATATATATTTATATATTTACTAATTTATTTATTTATTTACATGTACAAGTGTATATTTATATTGCTTCCGTCCGGAATTGAATTGTAAACTTTGACCGGCATAAGGATTAAGTAATGACAATAAATGATGCTTGTTTTTTACATTTTTGTTCATCTTTCTAAAAGTAGATGCCTTTGAGTTAATGGGGAAAAAGTAAAAGTAAGGGTAAATTTGTCACTTTGTTCTTTTTTACATACCTAAAATAGAAAGTGGAAAAACATTTTGGGACAACCAAATTAAGAAATTTTGCGAATCAAATTGGGACAGAGGGATTATTTACTAATTTATTTTTATACATATTTATAGTTTATGAAGTTAAATTTAAGTTTTTAGTTCTTAACAATTAGTCATCCAATATAACATCTATTTTTGTACTTAAAGATAATACTTTGTACTTGAATTTTAAATTTTAGTTATAATTTATCTGTTGGGATATTGCGATCCGGCCCAGTAATACGGCCCAAAATATCCTTAAGGCCCAAAAAAGTAGCGGAGCCCAACAAATACTGGATAGAACAGTGGACTCCCGAACGGGCTCTTACCAACGGCGTTAATCCCGAACGGATTGAATATAATACTTGACGATAAGGAGCGTCATTCATGGTTGTTGATCGAGAAGCCCACTCAGGGTTGGCCACGTCATCCATCCCACCTACTCATTTCTAGTATAAATAGTACTAGTAGCATTTATTCCATTGTAAGGGGTTATCATTTTGATATTCACTAGCAATATAATCATTCTTTAGATCTTGTATTAGCAACCGGTCCGTACTCCCATTTGGTCATTTTCTTGTAATATGCACCTTTAGTCATTTACTCTAATTCAATTGGGCTGTTGAACCATCTTTGGGATGTGTTGGATCTTTGGATCTAAGCGAATTAACCTTAACATTATCATTATTATTAGGGAAAAATAATGAAAATACCCCAAACTTTAAAGGGATGTGAGGTAAGCACCTCAAACTTGCATATGTGATTTAAATACCCCAAACTTTATATAAATAGTCATTTTTAGCGCCCTACTCATGTATTATTATTTTCAAAAATTTCATTTTTTGTGTTAATTTCATAATTTAAAATATTTTAGCATTCGTGAACATACAATGAACATTCTAAACTTCCATTGTAAAATAAATAGTATGACCACCACTATATATAATTGCATAGTTTTGAATTTGATATTTTAAATTATGCAATTAACATCATAAATATACATTTTTGAAAGAAATGATATATGACTATGATGTGTTAAAATAACATTTTACATAAAGTTTGGGGTATTTAAATTACATATGTAAGTTTGGAGTGCTTATCTCACACTCATTCATAGTTTGGGATACTTTAATTATTTTTCCCTTATTATTATTATTATTGTGTAAGTATTTTTTGTGTGTTTTGAAATGCCTATAAAATTATAAGCGAATTAACCATTTTTCTAAATGTTGTTATATTACTTTAAACGTATTACAAAAATCATATAATTTTGAAAAAATAAAGTTTTTCCGAGCCGGACGGCCCAGGGGACTGCTTGACCCGCTCTCATGGGCAGGTATGAACATGGGATTAGGTCCGTTTTTATGGATCAGACTAGGCCCGCCCACATATAATGAGATGAAAAAATATTAAATACTCAGCTCGAACTCGTTTTTATGTAGGTCTACATTTCAGCCCAAAATAGTTTCTGGTTTAATTTGACCTTTCAAAACCGTTCTAATCACGTCAGAGTGGTTGTCAACCAATTACAAGGAGATGTTTGTTTCAAGGTGTTTGAATTTCTTCGTGAAAATGTTAGAAAGATAATGTTAAATTATTTCATTTCGTTATTCAAAAGATTATCAAAGAAAAATAATGAGATATTACTATAAAATACTACGTATGAGGTAATATTGGGGATAGTATGATTAGTATTTTCAGCCAAATTACAAGGGCGTGTTTGCTTCAAATTAGAAAGGTAATGTTAAATTTACTTCATTTGGTTAGACACATAAAAATGTTTTTACTTGAATTGTTTTCAATCTCAGAGAAGATCGAATCAGATAAGATCAGACTAGATCAGACCAGACTTGACCAGACATTTTTGTCGGTCGTTTTTTAACCCAAAAGGTGAAACCGTAAACCGAACTGTCAATGATAAGTCGGTTTCGGTTTGAGTCAGTTTCGGTTTTGGTCGGTTCGATTTTGGTCGGTTTGTCGGTCGGTTTCGGTTTTTCGGTTTTTTGTTCACCCTTGGTAATTACCATCAAGAAGACATCGTGACTTACGGAGTCAATAATTGTAACACCCCGCTCCGTAGGGTCTGAGGTAGTGATTTACTGAGTCAATAATGCTCTCCAGACCTCTAGTATTGTCCTTACAAACAAACACAAGTCTTAAACGCGCACTTTGTCCTCATTCATGCCCGCCCTTAAAAGGAGTTTCCTTAAAAGGAACTTCCTTAAAACAAGCTTATGAGCTTCCTTAAAAGGAAATGCACCTTGTTGGCATGAGTAGTACTATTAATCCGTTTAAATTAATCTAAAGTGTTACAATCACCCCCACTTAGGATCGCAACGTTCTCGTTGCGCCCATAAACCAATCTCAATCAAACCCTGGAATATTCCCTTGCTAAGTTCCCTAGCTTGTGCAAAGGAGAGAGAATTAATGGAAATCACAAATTCTTTACTTAAAGAATAAAGTGACAAAGTTAGTGGGACATACAGAAAAAAGAAAGATGGCAAAGTTAAGGAATGAATAAGTGGGGACTTTTTTTGGAAGATACTTCGTACTACATATAATTGGGGACTTGACCGGTGGACGTAGCTTAACTGATAGCAAGGGAGTGCCACAAGGGTTAGGTCCCGGGTTCAAATCCCGGCAACTGCGATGAGGGGTTATTATGCTAAAAATGCATAGGACCTCTGCAAGTACCGGAGACAGAACCCCACTCTCTATCTGTCAAATTGGGATTATAGTCCAATTTACATCCTCCCAACGTATCGTCCGGTCGGGGTTGGGGGCCCTCAGGGATGGGGTGTCATCCTTTTAATTTTACATATTATTGTGTGAAGAATGAGGTTGCAATGTTGCGTACAAAGTGTCTTTTAATTTCACATATTATTGTGTGAAGAATGAGGTTGCAGTGTTGTGTACAAAGTGTGTATAATGAATATAGTCAAAGAACTTTAAACCTACTAGTCTAATTGTCAAATATAGAACTAATAGTTACCCCAGCATTAGATTTCTGACCGAAGAAATATAGAATTCATTGGCCAAATTGTCTTTTCATTAGAAACTACTTTTGTGATCTTTAAAATGTTATCGAACTCCCCCCCAAGTTTGATCTTTCCGTCGTATTAAAAAAACTCTCCTGGTCTGAATTTTAAAGTAATTCATCATTTTTCTTGTACTTATGAGTAGCAACTTATTTTAGAGATGACAGAAAAAGTGCGATAATAAAATGATATTTTTCTAAAATGCTACTAAAATAAATGTTATGGACAAAAGTGTGAATAAAATTATCATTTATATAGTTTATGGTCACAACAGTATACAAATTGAATATGATCAAAGTTACTAAAAGTTAATGGTAAGTCACATTTTTTACCGCTATCATATTTAAAAACATATGTTGGGAGTTATTTCTAATAAAAAATGTAGTGTTTGAAAAGAAAAATGATTTTTAAAAAGAAAAGCTAAGGTGTATGATTAAATAGTATTTTTTGTATTTGTTTTATGATGTGTTTTTATCGTATTAGTTACGCAGAATGTACTTTCTCAATTATTGTGTTCATAGACGATGAACAGAACAAACTTAACTTTCTTGTGCTCTCTAACTTAATACAATAAATTTTATAATTTTAATTACTCTGTACATAAAAGATGTTTGTGGTTGGGCGCATTTCAGACAGGGGTCTGTGTTTCATTTCTTATCAAAGTAGTCCCGTGTTTTGATTCTGCTATTACTGAAGGGGTCTGGCGCAATTAAAAACCGTTAGATAAAAACGATGAACAATAACTCTGATTTTTTAAAAAGTGCCTCGTCAAAGCGACCTCCACACCATCTTGCTTTGAACTACATAACCACATAACTAAGCTTTACATTCAATTGTACTGTAGTTGAACATCGACGTCATTTAATTTCTTCAGCTTCTCCAGAATTGATTGTTGAGGACTGGAGGGATCCTTACATGGAGAACGATCACAAGATAGTAGGATGGGGGCATAGACAAAATAAAACCGTAAGACAAAACTTGAGTAGAGTTGAAATCATTTTTAAAACCTTCACAGTTACACATAATATGTTTGAACAAATTGTGTCGACTTTGAAGAGAAATTCCCTGACATTTACCGCACCGACTTGGTGATTCTCGGGTTTAAAAAAAAGACTTTGGAATTATGAACGGGACATTAATCATGATCTAAGGTTCATTCTTGAGAGTTTAATTGCATGATTATTTAAAAAACAGACCTATACTTTGAAGAGCACATTCTTGAATTGGTAGAATAGAATGCATATGCATTTGTAAGTTGTAACAGCTTTTCATGACTCTTTGTAAGTTATACGATTTCTTGTTTGTACAACTCCTATGTACAAACAAGATCATGAAAGAAGGAAGAAATGAAAATGAACATTGCATATAGTAATGGTGCATGATATATGAAAAATGCAGCTACAAAAGTTTGAAATATATGTAGTAATAGCAAAGTCATGAAATAACGCTATGGATAAAAA